AACCCGCAGGTGTAATTAAAATGAAACGGCTTCTTTAATAGACTAGCAGTGCCGTCATCTGACAAAGATTTCTCTCAGAAAAGATTGGTGGATCAGTCGACTAAGCTGCATTTCTTACATAATCCTTAAGTCAAGACAGCTTGCTCCATTTTCGGTCCTTTGACCAAACTGTAGTTGTCTTGACAGAATCTTTACTCTCAGTCTGTTTAGATTTATGTCAAACTCAACGCCAGTATGATGTAACGTGTATACAATGTGAATGCAGCCGGATTGTGTATGACCTACTGGCACTGACACCTGATGAGCGAGTTTTCTCATTTGCATATGAATAAAGGTCAAGTGCTGAGTAAGCACTTGAAGTTTGGGATTCGAACAAGCAAGACGTTGATCTCTCCTTCTTGTCATGGCGTGATGGCAGCGATTTTAAAAGAAACTCGTAACTTCTTACGTCAAAAATACACCCTAAGTGGAAAATTCATTTGATAATGGCGAGTGCAAGTTCACACAAAGCCCCAAAACAGTGGGTACTAACAAAGACTGAGACGATAGGATCATTCGAGAAATGGAATATCTTAAATTTCTCCTCTCTCAAGACACAATTTTTTTCAAACTTATTACCAAGTACAGTATCATGGATAAAGAAGACAAAACACGCTCCTCTCCGCGGATTTGTCGACGAAGACGACAGCATTCCTGAGAGACAACGACGCACAGCACAGCAAAAGGTAACACAGTTAGAGTCTATGCTCAATCAAATAGCCAACTTTTGTCCTGTTATTTCACGCGGATCAATTGTGAAAAACTCGACCAGTTTGAATTCTGTTTGGCTGTCTATCCGCTTACACTTTGGCTTTCAATCTACCGGCGCCCATTTCTTAGACTTTGCGCAGATAAAACTTGAACCCGATTAAAGGCCGTTTAATGGCGTTTGTAGAAGACAACTTACTCACCGCCGACGTTGGTATTGCTCACCATAACGAGGTTATGACTGACGACGAGGAAATTTCGCGTACTTTAGAAAACTTTGTTATGCTCACCTGGCTGAAATTAATCCATAAAGATTTGCCTTTGCTAGTGAAGGAAAGAAACGGAACGGAGTCACGATCTCAAACTCTCGCCTCAATCAAGCCTGAAATTTCTCAAGCTTTAGATTCTTTATTGGATCAATTGAATTCTCACGAGGAAATTCGTGCCATGAGAGCAATTACAAAGCAACAAGCCAGAATTTCCGCTCCCTTGAAAGAACGCGGTACTACGTTCAACGCGAAACGGCGCTCATGCCCACTCTGTAAACAAGCCGGTCGACAACGCTACGATCATTTTCTCAGCACTTGTAAATTTTTACCCGAACAAGACAAACTTTACATCACCAGGACTTCACTCTGCTGCCGTAAAGTTAGATCCTGATTTGCTATTGACACCAGAGGACAAAAATGATTTCCAGAGACTACTCGTTTCATACGACAATGTTTTCAGTCCGTCAATCCCTGGATACAACGGTGCTATGGGACCTTTCAAATCAGTGGTAAACATGGGTCCTACTCAAACACCCCCCCCCCCCCCCGAGGAAGGGCAGGATTCCCCAATATAGCAGAAACAAGCTTGTCGATCTACAAGAGAAATTTGATTCCGCAAAACCGGAAGATGTACATTGTAGGTGTAAATGTCGAATACCTGAATCCTTCGTTTCTGGTGAAAAAGAGCAACGGACTATTCCGCTTGGTTACTGCTTTCAACGAAGTTGGAAAATATTGCAAGCCTCAACGTACCGTCTCTTTTACCTGATGTAAATTCCACAATACGTAATATCGGAGGATGGAAACACATTATCACCACTGACGTATCCAGTGCCTTTTATCAGATTCCGCTGGATAAAAATTCCATGAAATATTGTGGAGTAGCTACTCCTTTCAAGGGAGTTAGAGTCTACACACGTTCAGCAATGGGAATGCCTGGTTCGGAAACGGCATAAGAGGAGATGATGTCACGTGTCCTGGGTGACATTATGAAAGGTGTTGTTTGCAAAATTGCCGACGACCTTTACTGTGGAGGTCAAACTATAAAAGAACTGATGGATAATTTCCGACAGGTTCTTCGAGCTCTCAACAAATGTGATCTCCGTCTTTCTCCGACCAAAACCGTGATTTGTCCAAGGGAAACAGAAATCCTTGGATGGACTTGGAGAAGCAGCTTCCTTTCTGCCAATACTCACCGTATATCAACATTGTCGAACTGCGATCGTCCCACGACAGTTTTCGCTCTCAGATCCTTCATTGGTGCCTATAAAGCATTTGTACGCCTACTTCCTGGTTGTGCCTCGTTGCTTGCTCCCCTAGACAGCATGACTGCCGGAAAGCAGTCCCAGGATAAGCTATCATGGACGGAGGAGAAAGTTGAAGCCTTCGAAAATTCAAAGAAAGCTTACTCAACCATCGATCTATTATCATTCCTCGAGCCGACGATGAGCTTTGGCTTGTGACAGATGCATCCTCTCGACACTGTGGTCTTGCTGCAACTCTGCACGCCAAACGCGAAGATAAGCTACATTTAGCAGGATTTTGTCAGCGCAAAACTCCGAAAACATCAGGTGACCTGGATACCGTGTGAGCTGGAAGCTTTAGCCATAGCTTCTGCGATCAGACATTTCGCTCCATACTAGTATATTATACAGTCAAGACACCAAACGCATGTATTAACTGACAGTAAACCTTGCGTCCAAGCACATGTTAAGTTATGTAGAGGAGAGTTTTCTGCAAGCCCACGTGTATCTACATTTCTCTCATTAGCCAGCAGATATCACTTTTCTGGGCAACACCTGGCAGGTTCAGATAATATTTCGTCCGATTTTGCAAGTAGAAATGCAAAAGAGTGCCAAAACCAGAAGTGTCGAGTTTGCAGCTTCGTCTATGACCTACAAAACTGTGTAGTATCTAGTGTTTATACCGACGATGTTCTTAGCGAGGCCAAACAACTTCCATTCACCAACCGAAAAGCATGGCTTCAAATTCAACAAGAATGCTACGATCTACGCCGAACTAAGGCCCACCTATCTCAAGGTACGCGACCAAGTAGAAAAGACAGCGGAGTGTCTAACGTGAAACGTTATCTACGCGTCGAGGGTCTTACTATCGCAAAAGATGGTCTTCTAATAGTGCACCGCCAATCACCTTTGGAAAACGAACGAGAACTTATAGTAGTTCCCAGACAATTCTTACTGCTCTCCACATTCGTCTGGAACACCCGTCTGGCTATCAACTAAAAAGCGTAGTAAAACGCTACTTTTATGCTTTAAATTTAGACAAAGAAGCCGACGAGGTATCACGTTCAGACCATCAGTGTGCTTCCTTGAAAAAAAATCCACATCTTCAACAGGAACAGTCTTCGGAAGCACCCCCACCTACAGTCGGAGCATCATTTGCAGCAGATGTTATGAAACGACACTCACAAAATATTCTGATTGTAAGAGAAACCGTCACTTCATTCACAACAGCGTGTTTTGTTAAGGACGAAACTAAGGATAGTTTACGAGAAGGCCTCATTCAACTATGTGCAGAAATGCGACCACTTGACGGTCCCTGTGCTGTCATTCGCACAGACCCGGCTCCTGGATTCAAGTCATTAGTGTCGGATGAGTCTCTGCGATTGTCTAGATTAGTCATAGAGATTGGACGTCCCAAAAATATCAATAAAAATCCAGTTGCAGAAAAGGCAGTTCAGGAGCTTCAAGATGAAATTCTACGTAAAGATCCATCACGTGATTCTATTTCTCAAACTACTCTCAGCCTTTGCGTTGTTCAGCTCAATTCCAGAATGTGCCGAGGAGGTTTGTCTGCGAGGGAAATGTTTTCTCAGAGAGGTCAATTCACCTGTCAACAAATTCCCACTTCAGACAGAAAACTGATTATGGATCAAAATTCAGTAAGGGCGAAAAACCACGAAAGTAGTATGCGGTCTAAAGCGCCTTCAAAACCAATAGCTAACAATAGCAATCTCAGTGTAGGAGATACCGTTTATTTACATCATGACAAGACAAAGATTTACGACAGAGATTGCTACATGGTGGTAAAAGTCGACGGTCAGTGGTGCAATATTCAAAAATTCATAGGAATTCAGTTACGAACTCTGTCCTATAGAGTTAAACAGTCGGACTGCTATAAGGTTCCCGAGAATAAGTGGAGAAAGGTCGATTTATGTAGTGACTACTCCGATGATTCAGAGTGTTCTTTGTCAGACTATGAAAATGTAGATACTGCCGACAACGACAAAGAATCTCACATTGACTTTGACTCTCTCCGTGAATTTCATCCACAAACGGTCGAAAACAACAAAAAAGAAGTTCAAACTTCGTCAGATCCATGTGACAAAGAATCTCACATTGACTTTGACTCTCTCCATGAATTTCATTCACAAATGGACGAAAACAACAGGAAAGAAGAAGTTCAAACTTTGTCAGATCCATGTGAACAACCAACTGAAACTCTCAGACGTTCTACGAGGAAAAGACAAACTCCTAGATATCTTAAAGATTATGTTTTGGAATTGGAATTGAGTTAATATCAAAGAAACTGACAATCAGTCGTCTAAAAAAAAATAAATAAACGGGGAGGAGACTTCGTTACCTTTGACATTGACACTGTGCCGTTGCACCTCTGTACATATTGCACTAATGTTTTTGTGTTGATTTTGCAGTTACACATTGTTTACTTCCTTAAAAAAGAAAAGAAGAAAAGAAAAGAAAAGTGATCACGCCAGTATGCTGTAATGTGTATACAATGTGAATGCAGCCGGATTGTGTATGACCTACTGGCACTGACACCTGGTGAGCGAGTTTTCTCATTTGCATATGAATAAAGGTCAAGTGCTGAGTAAGCACCTGAAGTTTGGGATTCGAACAAGCAAGAAGTTGTTCTCTCCTTCTTGTCATGGCGCAATACTTATGCAAGGCAGGTATGGATTAAAGAGGAGCTGGGATTCGATAAGACGTGCGAAAGCGTAGAAGAAAAGATAACACGCAATCTAAATATGCATGTCCTACTTAGATTTCTGTCGAGGTAGCAAAATAGTGGCCAGGTGGTCGCATTACAGTTTTAAAACCCTTCCAGCAATGAGCAAGAGATCCGCGTGATACCATTAGTCATGGAGATGCACACCATTGAGAAATTACAGTCGGATCAAACTTTTGTCAGCTCCGACGATGATGCGCCTGTTGAATACCAACTGGAGGAAAAATTTGAAGACGGTCGCATGGGAAACTCGGAAGAAGTGTCCTTGCTCTATCCTCTAGACAAATGTCCCCCCGTGGCTGTTACCATCATTTTAGCTATTCAGGTAATGGAAAAAAACAGTGGTTGTACCAGTCAGCAACAGAAATTGTTAAGTAGGACTAATATTTTAGTCAACAGACGTGCCAAATCAAAATGGACAAAAATATGTGACATGCAATAGTTTTGGTATTACGCGTAGTAGCTAATTCATTTTCAACGTATATTACTTGGAAAATAACCAATCACAAATCAAACTGTTCTTCGAGTTGTAAATGCCTGCTTATTACATTTGCGGCCTGACACGGTTGCCGTGAGCAAATAATCCTTATCTCTAGCTGGAAATTCAAATTGCTCAAACTTGTACTGTGACCTCTGGTGGATCGAACCAGTGAAAGTCCATCAAGTCACTTGCTATTAAGGCAAGAAAGGAACCTCCTTTTTACCTCAGTAATAACCGTAGTAATAATATTTCCAAATGTCAGCTAGGTATCTTTAAATATTTGAAAACAGTTTTGGGAAAATTTAAAAGTAAGCGGCATTATATAATAATCATTTTTTTTAATTGAACCACAATATTTTAATGTAAGTGTCTCCATAGATGGCAGGTCATGTGTTGAAATAGCTTGTTCAACAGATTCAAGGATGTCATGGACATTTCGACATATTTATTTATTATGTTTAAGGAGAACAAGCTCGACAATGCGTCAAGGCGGTTTGGTTGCACTTTTCTTAGTACATGAGCACTACATGTTGATTACCGTTAATCCGGTAAATCTGAATAAAAGACGCCAAAGAGAAGTGATCGACAAATGGGCATGTCGACAGTAAGATTTCAAATAAAAATTGAGCATATGACTACAACTCATTCAGCTTTTGCTCTAAATGAGTTTTAAAAATTCTCAAAGCTTTAAAAGCTCGCGACCGCTACTAGTGGTACAAAGATTTGTTGTTCATCTTCCTGTTTTTAAGAGGTCTACCCGCTTGAAACTCGCTTGTAGTATACATTATTAGTTATAGCAGCGCTGAGAAGAAAGTTGTTTAACATAAGAACAATGTTCAGGCTTGGGTAAATTACGACCTTTCTTGACAAATTCTAGAGGAACTAGTGTACTTGTAGTCAAAACGAGTCAAAACGTCCATACTGGCGAAAAATCTGAGCTGTAAGTATTATTAAGGTCGGTAAATCTACCATTGTTGGAAATGCAGACGAAGCATGTGTAACTAGAAAAGCACTCCGAGAGCGCAGACCTCCGCCAAGGCAGCAAAGTCTCCACCCAATGCCGTTTCACCCCTAAATTTTCATTCTATAATGATTTAGTTTTTTTTATTTTTGATTATTGATTGATTATTGATTCGGATCACCACCAAAAACTTATCATCTGTTCCTTGGCCCACTTCTGACAGTTCCTGAAAATTTCATCAAAATCGGCCCATAACTTAGTTTTTAATTATTGATTATTAATTGTTGATTGATTATAGATCCGAATTACCACCAAAAACTAATCACTTCTAAGTTAACCCATTTCTGACCTACCCTGAAAATCCCATCGAAATTCATCCATAACTTTTTGAGTTATGTTGATGACAGACAGACAGACAGACAGACAAAAAAACAAACAAACACATAGGGGTAAAAACATAACCTCCTTGGCGGAGGTAATTATGTACAGTACAAGTACCTGTACATGTGTATACTGGTACCTGAGTTGAATGGGGGTCGGGTGAATTATCAAATGTTTCGATAAACAGATGTTTTCTATGGCAGAAATTGATGCTAAACACAACTGACTACTACTTTTTTACAACAACTGGCTTTGCGTGATTGCGACCGTTAACTGAGCTATATGAAGATGCTTTCTTAACTACTGTGTGCCACTTTGTTTAAGATCCTTATAAATCTCAAACAAAATTAGAAGTCATAAAAAAACGCAACTAAAGTCTGCGTGACTTAGCATAATAGGGAAGGGAGTACATGTAAACGGAACATCAAAATCTCGATTGGCCATGACATACTTTTTAACCGAAGAAAAGTTAGACTAAAGCGAAAAGATGGTCATAGATGCACTATTCACCACATACACTTTATCTGTATTGTAGGCCTTATTTCACTTGTACTTTAATGGACACATGAAGTTATAAACACCAGACAAAGAAATGAGACTCACTGTGACCTTCTGCAAGACACAAATAGTACTAGTACAAAAAGAAAAACCCGAAGACTCGGTGCAGGCGTGTCCCGCAAATGCAAGATGCACTGAAGCAACCCTTCTCAAGTAATACGTTACCGATCTTGACGTAGAAGAAAAAAATTTTAGGGACTGTCAATGTTGGTTTTGGGATTTCTTTCTGTAACAGCTTTCGCTATCTAATGTTATATAACCGTATCTTCCACCGAAATATAAACGTGATGCTCAGGTGCTGTATATTCGCAGGATACACTCCTATCACTATGAAAACGGATTTCTATTGCTTTTTGGTAATAAGTGTTCTTCATTGCCAAATTATAGATTTTTCCTTATTTATTCATTGATTCATTAAAAACTATGTGTTTTTCCGATCAGATTTGAACTTGTACAGGATGATATCACAGTGCCTTTGGACTATCCCGAATCATAATTTTTTTACCAGCTGTCATGCGACCAATGAAGTTAAAAGGCTTTTCAGCATAAAATTTATACGTGCAATAATACTATTATCGCACTTTTTTTTCATAAATAAAGATTAACCCTTACACCTTAGATACCAAAAATATTTATTCATTACCACGACATTGTGTAGACACTATCTAATTGTGAAATATTTTATGCTGTACTTTTTTTAGCAAGTGGTGATGTGCATCACGGGCACGATGTCGCTGCCGTTAATACTGAGCGGGCTGCTTTGTCAAGAGGACAACTACGAACTGCTGGCGGAGTTACAGAGCACCGCCATCTTTGTGTCTGGCTTGGTGTCGGTGTTACAGTGCACCATAGGGATACGGTAAGGATACAGCACCAGTAAAGTATCAGTATACCACAGGGATACGGTAAGGATGCAGCACCAGTAAAGTACCAGTATACCGCAAGGATACTGTAAGGATACAGCAACAGTAAAGTGCCAGTATACCACAGGGATACGGTAAGGATACAGCACCAGTAAAGCGCCAGTATACCGCAAGGATACTGTAAGGATACAGCACCAGTAAAGTGTCAGTATACCACAGGGATACGGTAAGGATACAGCACCAGTAAAGTACCAGTATACCACAGGGATACGGTAAGGATGCAGCACCAGTAAAGTACCAGTATACCACAGGGATACGGTAAGGATGCAGCACCAGTAAAGTACCAGTATACCACAGGGATACGGTAAGGATGCAGCACCAGTAAAGTACCAGTATACCACAGGGATACGGTAAGGATACAGCACCAGGAAAGTACCAGTATACCACAGCGGTAACGTAAGAGTACATTTTACCATATGGGTTTGATAAGGGGCACTGTTTACCGCAGGGGTAGGGTAAGGGTACAGCGCACCATAGGGGTAAGGTAGGGGTGCAGGGTACCATAGTGGTAGGGTAAAGGTACATGTACAGGTCATCATAGGGGTAAGATAAAGGTTAAGGTACCCTGGGTGTGTTGTAAGAGTGTAGGGTATAGGGGTAAGGTGAGGGAACAGGGTTTCATAGGGGTCGGTTAAGGATACAGGAGACCATAGGAAAAAGGTCAGAGTGAAGTGTACCACAGGGATAAGGCCATAGGGTGCCGCCGAGGTGAGATTAGGCTACTGTAGTAGGGCCTACATGTACCATAAGTGCAAGGTAAGGATAAAGTTTACATATACAACAGAAGTGAATTGAGACTTTGGCAAATGCTTTTATCTTTATAAATGATATTAACTGACTGGATTTGGATGTCATGTAAGCTAGCACTATATAGGTCTCTAGACAAAATATTACTTCAACAGAACATTACTTCAACAAAATATTACTTCAAAAAAAAAAAAAATATATATATATATATATATTACTTCAACAGATACATAAAACGTATTGCCATGACTACAAACGTTCTTTTAAACAAAAACTCATATAGTAAGCCCATTCATTTTAGACTTCCCATTATCCAAGGAGGAAGCCATTCCTTTGTGGCGCCGATGATCGCCATGTTGTCTCTGGAGAGGTTCAGGTGTCCGGAAACACCAGGTACAATTAGAGCACATTCAGAACGGCAGATTAACAGATCCGGGGATCAAATATGGCCGACCCACTGGAATGCTTGTTGCGTAGTCCCCGCAGGGAATATATTCAGTGTCTTATCGGGAATTAAGCGGCAAGCTTTTTAGTGGGTGGCCATATTTATCCGCGGATCTGTTAGTCCGCTGTTCTGAACGCGGTCTTAACCAAACGACCAGCACATGATCTGATGTAAACGAGTCAACGCACGTGATCGCACATAGATAAAAAGACACAGAAGGCGTTTTTTTCTTACATGTATTATGGTTTCCGGTGGATACCTACTGGGTCATCGTTCATTTTGCTCAGCGTTTGATTAAAAGGCTAAACGTCTATGTTCAATGAATAGAGCGCTAGTTTTATGAGAACCGTACTTAACTCTTCCATTTCTATCATTCAGAAGCAACCCTGATGGCCAACACAACGTTAGGAAATTTGTCGTCTGCTCGGGACGCCATGTCTGATGTGCAGTGGCAGGACCGCTTGAATGTCGTACAAGGAAGTCTCATGGTGGCGTCTATTGTACAGATATTCCTTGGGTGCACAGGTACTGCGCGATAATTATTATTATTAATAATAATATTATTGTTATTTTTATTAATTTTTTCACTCGCTTTTGTCACACCAAAAAAGGCATATTGTTATAGCACTGTCACACTAAATATATGTAGCATCAACGTGTGAGAAAAATTGCTCACTCTCAGGCAAATGTTGGAGTGCGTTTGCATCCCCACTGCAGAAGGAGATAAAATTTGAGAGTGTAAAAAAAAACAGCGTATGGGTTATATGTTACCCATACGCAAGGGATACGCTAGGCTAACGGCGGATACGCCAGAGTGACGTTAAAAACACCTAACAGTACGCTTCTCATGCATGCGATGGTGGGTAGGCCTATAGCTAGCATTTGCGTAGCGTAGATACAGTTCAATAAAAAAACTGGGCTTCTAGTGATTCTAATTCATTTGTCTGTGAATTAGGCGCCATTGGTTTTCTACTGCAATACATTGGACCCCTCACAATCGCTCCTACCATCACTATGATTGGACTGTCTCTCTTCTCCGTGGTGTATAAATATTCTCAGGCACACTGGGGAATGTGGGCACTGTAGGTAGACCGATTTTGTTTATTTATTTTTTTTAATTTGAGTTAGTCTTATATTGACTAATTTATTGACATTACCCTACTTCTCAAGAAGGCAAGGAAATATACTGCATACTTTCATAAACAGTCGAGTAGGCCTAATATTAGTAGAACAGGTATTCACTTTTTGGCGTATTTCCGCTTGTGGTGAAATGTTGGAAACAACAGCAATTTCTGAAAATTGATATTTCTTCAAAATTTTTTATTTGAGCTATTTTTTTATTTTAGCTCTTGTGCCATTGTATTCATCAGTGGAGTATATTTGAGGAAGATACAAGTACCATTTGTGTGGTGGTCTCGTAAGGAAAAATGCCGCAAAGTGTCCTGTTATTTATTCGTGTTACTACCGGTAAGCGCAAAACGATTGTTTTAAACAAAAACGCTGCTTATATGGACAAAAAATCTCAGCAAAAAGTTCATTTAAGAACCATTAATTTGTTTTTATATTACACATATAATTTCCATATCACAGAAGATAACTTGTGCACAAAACTTAAATGAACGAAATATCGAATTTGTTTTCTGTTGCAAATTGAAGCCTATTCAATCTGGACCATGATCAAGTCATGGAAATGAATACGTTGTATTGTTTTACCCACATATAAATGTTTTATCTGTACATTGCTATTTTTTATTGTCAAGGTCGATTTTATGTTCACTTAGGTTGTATTCAGTATCGTCATCACGTGGCTAGCGTGCTGGATTCTCACGGCCACCGGCTCTCTGCCAGATGACCCGAAGGCCGTACAGTACAAAGCGCGCACTGACGCAGGATTGGTAGGGATTCGGAACGCTAAGTGGTTCTTCTTTCCATATCCAGGTAACATATTCAGTCCCTACAGACGCTAATGTTTTGGTTCCAAGGTCACACATTGCAATAACGTGTTATATGTATTTTAATGTGTTCATACATGTATATCTTATTTCACTGAAGCCAAAATTGAAAACGAATATGTTTATGGACGAGCGCTGACACACACACACACAAACACAAACACACACAACAAAATGAAATGATTAAATGTGGAAAATTTTAGGGACTCTTCCATATTTCAGGACAGTATGGTACACCAGTCATAAACGCTGGCGGCGTGTTTGGTATGATAGCAGGAACATTGGCATCTGTCGTGGAGTCGGTAGGAGATTACTACGCCGCGGCCAAGCTATGTCAGGTGCCAGCACCCCCAGCACACGCCGTGAACCGAGGCATGTTGGTGGAGGGGCTGGGAAGCGTCCTCTCCGGCTCCCTGGGGATGGGGCACGGCACAACATCGTATAGCAATAACGTCGGTGTGATAGGAATTACCAAGGTGCGGTTTTAGTTTTTAAAACGTAGGAACAAATCTGAGTTTCTAAGTGATACCAGCATGGACGAGCGTGCCTGTTGTCTAGTTACCCATAAAGAGTTTACAAGTACGTGTAAAAAGAAAAGTAGGCCTATATCGCGGAAAATCCTTGCACATAATGTATCGATATTCATAGTACAGACAAATATAGGGCCTACATGTACAGTGTATATGGAACTGGTTAATCGGACTGTGCATTTATCGGGACGTTTCTCTATGGAGCTGACCCCATTTGAAACACATGCCATATAAGATCCATTCCATTTATGTGCTGTAACTTGTGCGTGAAGTATTAACTTGTATTACACTTACATCAGTCTTTGAAACCATTTTTCCAGGTCGCCAGCCGGCGAGTGTACCAAGTGGCAGGGATCATGATGGTGTGTATGGGCGTTATAGGCAAGGTGGGGGCCGCTTTGGCCGCTATACCCTTACCAATCCAGGGCGGTGTTTTAACCATTGGACTTTCCTTTGTGGTGTCCGTGGGGATCTCCAACGTTACGTATATTGATATAAGATCGGCCAGAAATATGTCCATTTTGGGCTTTTCTTTGATGTGTGGGTTCGTCGTGCCAGAATGGGCAAAGCAGAACACCGATGCTATAAAAACAGGTGATAACCGATTTTTAATCAGCCACGATATAGTATTTCTACTGTATTTGTATATTTACCGAATATTTTTTTCTTTTTATGTATGCATAATTTTTCATTGAGATGGAGGTGCCTTTTTGATCAGCATCATTCTTTGCCTGCTGATTCCTTATAAAGACCGATTTCCTTATATCTTATTTTTCATATATTTACGTATACAGTGCTTACTCAATTACCACAGTCAGGTCAGTTCTTGTACCACAGTTGATTTATATGATATGCTTCATAACAACCTAGATCATTAACTATGCCGTTATTTTTAGGGGTGGACGGACTGGATGCTGTTATCACAGTGTTTTTAACAACGCCGATGTTTCTCAGCGGTGCGCTGGGGTTCTTCCTAGACAACACTATTCCAGGTATTACGTTGAAAAACATCGTTTTATTACCCTTAAAAAAAAACAAAACAAAAAAAAACAAACAAAAAAAAAAAAAAAAACGGAGAAGTTTGCACTTACAGAAGCTCTAAAGTTAAGTAAGTCCGCACCCGTAGCGCAAGTTTGTTCTTACACATGTAGCTGTTTTTTATTTCGTCTTTTTGCTTTAAAGAAAAATCGTGGACGTTTCTATTGACAAACGAGTTATTTTCTTCAATACAAACATTTTGTCCACACAAACAGATCAGATGTGCTAATGAACTTTGAATATTAGTGGTGTCTGATAATAACATTCGAGTGTTAATAAATGCAAACTTTAAAAGATGTATTAAAACATTTCATATTGCAGGCACAAAAGCCGAGAGGGGCATAGGAAAATGGCACGAAGAGGTCTTTGCGAATGCACAAAATCCCGAAGGTTATGACGATCCGAAAACCAAAGAATATGAAGTTTACAGCATTCCATATATAACTCCGTACTTGGAAAAAATAACGTGTTGCTCAAACATCCCCTTCATGCCAAGTTTCGACTCGGAAAGGATAAAATGTAGAAATAAATGCAAGTGTAGGCGCTCTAAGATGGTCGTATGATAGAAAAAAAAACCCTGTGCTATTACACGTACACGTCTCATAATCAGTCCATGGGGTTGGTTGCATGTGATCGCTTTTACATAAAAAGAAAACAAATCGAAATTGAAAGGTGATTGTAACTTGCAGTTCTAATTTGGTGAAACTTTATGGGCTTAAAAACCAGTCACAAAAGTGACATATTTTAACACGTGAAAATTAATATTATATTTTGGAGGGTAGCAAATGTACAAACAAACAAATAAACAGTGAATGAATGAAAAAATGACAAATAAAAAGATCAGTGAAATAAACTTTTACCCTCGCCTCGTTCGAAAAAAAATCAAGTAAGGTAGCCATTGGAATTTTATAAATTTTCATGATCCAAACTTGCAAATACACTGCACATTGCCTTGCAGATTCCATATCATGCGGTAATCTCTTTTTAGAAAAAAAAAAAAAATGGGTAAGTTTGACCGTCTTTCAAAAGACAGAAAAGCCGGTTAGCATTCGTATTTGGCTCCATAACTTCTACCTGTAGTATTTAATACAAATAGCAAAGTTCCCACCTTCAGTTTTTAGTAAAAANTGTGTGTGCGTGCATGTGTGTTTGTTTCAGCCAGAACGCCAAACGCAAAAGCATTTCAGGAAAGGATACTCACCGAACACATTATAAACTCTTTGATTTTGAAACGGATATCTGGTGACATTTTGTAACTTTTATAATTGCTGGAAACCTGAAAATGCGAAGCATATTTTAAAACTATTTGTATATCCAAGCCCTTTATGTAAACCATTCAATTTACCATTTATACTTAATTTGGTGCCCCATATTAAGCTATTTTTAACAATTACTTATTACTTTCAAGATGAAATTTACCTCCAAACACCCCGTGAACATAAATAAATTATTTCCAACATACGCTGTTCCAATAATTAAGAACATATTTCTTGGCGTTGGCCTCCGAACCCTTGTTCCTTATAACAGAATGAGCGACAATGAGAGTGACTTCTGCGTACACTATCGCCGGGACTTTGACTTGTCTTTTATGTAATCCTCTTGGTTGTGTGATGTTTGCACTGGTATTTTCATCGGGAGGGTCTGAAGTGAAAGCATCCAAGAGACGGGAACTTCAAATTCACACACACGCACACACACACAAACACAGAGAGAAGGGAAAGAGAGAAGAGAGAGAGGCACGTATACGCACGGATAAACGCATGAACACGAAAATAATGAGTGAATTGCAATGAAATCACAATTGTCGATTAAAATTAAGATTAGAAATAATAATAATTCGTGTTAGTGTTTGGTAGTTACAGTATTCATCCGAGACAAATCGAACGTCTGGCTGTCTGTAGACCACGTGACGCAGCGAGGAGTTTGAGGTCACGTGATCCGGAAGGGTTCGAACTACGTAGTCCCCGACAGATCCATCCTATATAAATTAAAAACCCATTTTGAACAAATATTGATGACGGACAATCCTATATTGTTAAGGAGGTTTAACAAAATTTGGGAAAAAAATCTATGACATATCGAGCAAATTGACCAACTAATCCGAATGATGAATGTTTAACATCTTCATTTTTAAATTCTAAAATGAAACGGAAATAATGGATTCCTTTATGATTACATACCAACAGAAGACCAGATGCATCTCTCTGTATTGTGAAAGCAGCAGAGTGTACAGGGTCCTCGTATAGCTGACTCAATTCACCGTCAACATCGTCCTGTAGAAAACACGTTATATTAAACCGGTATACATGTAGTATGATAAATTGACGGAGACTGACCGCATTTTTTCATTTGGTTCCATTTTGTAGGTAAATTACTGCCACTTTATTCAAATGTTTCAAGTCCTATAAAGTGAAAAAGAAACGGTTCTTATGTTATATATCGTAATATAATCATAGACTTATTTACGTATTCAAATGTAAGACAACATTCATAGGATCATTTGAAAAGATAAGCATATAGATAACTGACTTTTCCTGTCACGCTCTCCTCTATCGTCTGCCCGTCATCGTTTACACTGAGTTTGGTCACGAGCGTGTTTTGCACGAGGTCGTCATTACGTGATAGATGCAGACGAAGCAAACGGCCGCCCACTTTCATAGACATCCGCAGACGACCATCATGGTTTGAGGCCCCCCTAGTTTGGTATTCGTGGATTTCTGTCAAACTATAATCTGGCACTGAAAACAAAACCGTTTTTTACGACCATGGGATTATTAGAAATGGAAACTGAAATTTGTTAGTGTTGTATGCGTGCCATGAAAAAAAATACTTTTATGACTTTTGTCAACTGTGCTACTAGCTCTCTCACGTGCAGAGGTAAATATTAATAATCATACCACGATTTAATTCAATTGGTTCACTTTCACAATTTTCAATGTAATTGAAGTTAAATGTCCTGGCGTGTTTGATCTCATCTTGCAGCTGATTTCGACGCCAAACATCAAACTTTATTCAAATAAGGGAAGATAAGCTAACTTTTTACCTTTACTGTGATCCTGAACCCCAAATATCTCTTGCAATTCTGTTCTGGTTAGCTGTCGAATGGCGACCTATAGACAATTAATAACGTCAGTAATACATACATGTATAGTATCGGTACAAAGCTGATACATGGTTTGAAAAATAAAGACCACTTAATTAGCAAAACTTTCATACATTTTGATGTTTCATCATCAGATTTTCGTAACTCTCGGAGACTGCATGTAAATATAGGGATTTTGTTGAAAGTAATAGAAATTTAATGCATTAAATTTAATTACATGCATGGATGACATATACCACTGGTAGCATCTTAAAATAGCAAAGCCGCTGCTGCTTTCTTTATCAGATTGATTTACGAGTAGTTGTCATTTTTCGGTATATTTAACTAAGGTTCGTTAGTAACACCACCGATTCCTATTGTTTTAATGACCTTACCTGGGCTGCAACTACAACAGATGATAAAATACAGGCGGTGACACACAGGGTCAGTGTTTTTGGTGGAGACGCCATGTTGTAGCCACGCGCATCCCGATTAAGAAAGAGGTTTACATGTATATATATAGAGAAATGCATACGTTGAGCATTAACCCAAGGCACGTTTACATAAGACAATTAAAAGAAATAACCTCGATCCTAGATTGAACCGGTATCCAATCGCTCTATTTGTGATTAAACTAAATATGCTTTTTCTAAATACGTATTTTCCGTTTGAAGCAATGCATTGAACTACATGTAATCAAGTAGTTATAACTCCTTGATGTAATCACCCACTAGTTTTAAAGCGAACATGTGCCAGTAAACTACGTGTAAACATGCTCTAAGATATATGAATCTACTGATAAGTCTTGAAATATACCACTAACACCAATAGATAGTATGCCAGCATGCCCCCACGTGCTTATACCGGGTGTCTCCGTGGGCAGGGTAAAGAGGATTATACGGCTAATCATATTGCTTACTTTTGTGTTCACATATGCCGACCTTTAAGCAATTCTGCGCTGGATGTAGTGAGCTCGCTAAAATAATAATACATAAAAATAAAATCATAATTAATATCTCTCTGCAAAGGTGAAGATAAGACATTAGGGCGTGCACAAATCTGATACGTGCACAATATAACACCGTTCATAAGTTATACATACACCGTGCGTCGGTCTTGCATGGGTCATACGCGGTGCGAGTACGCTGTGCTCGTGAGTGATTAGCAATTCATACGAGGCCATACGCTGATCTCCCAGTATATTGCACGTACACACACACACACACACACACACACACACACAGACATGTCGTACTTGCAGCATACGTACAGAAACAGTAGCAACACAGGCTGTAACAGATACGCTGAGAATGTGCTTGGTATTCCTCGAAAATGTGTTTTCGCATAAATTGTACGGGTGCATATCGTAACATTTAATAAGGCATTCAGAGGACTTGAACGCCTTTGGGTGAACTAGTTCTGCGGCAAAACCACTCTAAGTAAAACCTTGTGAACGGCATTCAAGGTCCACATCTATCGGCTATTATCTGAACTGTCATATATAGTCTGTTGACAGATAGCATTACCTTTTGCTAATGCACAGACAATGTCTTCAATTGCAACGTAGACAGTCGATGAAAAAACAAACCGCGCTTCTTTTGTATGATGTATCTAAAGGCTTAATTATAGTTCATATGTGTAAAATAGCCACTATTGAATCCTCGTTCTTTGCTTATTTTCAACTAAGAAGTAGGCTACTACACCTAGGCCTACTAGGTAGATATTTTTAAAATCTCTCTTTTCTCTGCATTACCCCACAAAACAGCAATAAAGGCCGAGCCGAACAAAAATAGATGAATATCAAAGACCAAATCTTTTAAAACCAGTTATGCAGTGCATGCAATTGTTTGATTTCTAACCAATGATGGTGTATAAGCCCCTAATAAGGGTTTGATACATATAAGCCTAGATTATGGCAGATGAGAGGTTGGTTTCGCGTAAAAATAACGCCGTCGCGTAGGCCTACGCTTCAGACAGTTTTGATGACGTAACTCCCACTGTGACGTAACATACGTTGCATCCTAGCAGCAAAACATTGCAGACAGCGAACGATTGATAAAAATAATGTTTATAGCTAAGATTATTTGATAAATTATTCACAATATACAGTTCACATAGATTCTACACAACAGAATGCCGAGAATCTTGGAGGAGGTGAGTAATATTCACTATATTTACAGTAGATATTTATTGAATTAGGGGCTACATCACCCGATAAGCCTAGTTCATTAATTTTTTTATTTACGGTCACATCCAAAACTTATATTTCTTCTCGTTATATTTCTTGGATGTTAGGAGATGTTTGCAAACGTTTTATATATTTACCCAATCAAATATTCTATAATTTTGACAGTGGTATAATAATAAGAGTGGACATACCAGTACTTCACTCCTATATTCTTGACATATTTTCAAGATAATAATATGTTCAAAATATTCTGCTATAATTTGAGTGTAATGACATTTATCGAAAATCTAACTGAAGAAAAAATCGACATATATTATACCTATGTTTGTTTACGCTTTTTGGCCGATTGACGTCTAACGTTTCAAGACGAGTTGGCGTATTTACCGTTATTTCGAACTTGAGTTGAATAACATCAAATGTCAATGGTTTATCGGAATGGAAAGACCGGCTATCAGGGTATCTATGTTATGCTTGTTATAGAGAGGTAAAAAAGAATGTTGGCATATTAGTATATATTAAGGAGCGTTTAGTAAATGATCTAAAAGAAATCAAAAACCCTAAATTAGACACTGTCTCCCTACTATTAGCCAAGCAGGTTATAGGGCTTGACAAAAATATTGTATTTAGTGATGTGTATGTTTCACCTCAAGGGGCTAGTATTTATGGGGAAAATCATGGAAATGGAATGGAGATATTGGGTGAATGGTTGCTCAAAATGAAAGCAGCATACGAGGACGCATATTTTATGTCAGTGGGGGATAGAATGAAAGGACTGGAACGTTATATGACTTAATCGAAATTGATGGAGCGGAATATGTAGCCGATTGGTATGAAAGAGACAAATTTTCCATTTTCCGAAAAAATAAAGATCTAGAGTACAACAGATATGGCCAGGACTTGGTTGAACTGTGCTGTAGCGTGGGCCTTCAGTTGTTAAATGGAAGAAAACATGGAAATGTGGATGGAGAATTTACTTGCGAAGCCAACAATGGTCATAGTACAGAAGACTACGCGCTATGTGTCATAATCACACGTGCCTCGAGGTTATGGACATAGATCTGTTGGATCATTTCCCCCTAGAATGTGTGTTGAACTGTAAAAATGAGAATGTAAACACTTATGCAAGTATCACAGTAAACCTGATACCCTTCTTCAAGTTTGCCTGGAGTGAGAAATGGAAAAGATAGGTTCCTTGGAAAACTTTAGCCATAATGTACCAAAGACCATACAGTGGATATAATGGAGCGGCGGGTGATATGAAAAAGACCCACAAGGTGCACAGACCATTACATGAAGGTTGGTTTGACAATGCATGCAGGTCCGCAAAGCGTTATAAAATTCGTTGTTGTGAAAATTCATACGTACTAATGACGACATAGACCTAGAAAGCTACAAAAAAAAAAAATAAATAAATAAATAAAATAAAAAAAAATAATAAAAATAAAAAATAAAGAAAGAAAGAAAGAAATAATAATAATAATAATAATAATAATAATAAATAATAATAAATAAAAAAATTAATCATGTAGAGAAATTTGTCGTATTTACAATAAATGGAAAATAAACCAGCAGCAAAACATTGAGAAGACAAAACATGATCCATTTGTATGTTGGAAATCAATCAAAGGGAAAAAGTGCTCGTCGTCTAGTGTCATAACTAGTGACCGGTGGTTTGAATATTTTATGCAACTAAATAACCCGCAGGAAACAGAAAGCTCAATATCAAAAGAGGTGCGTCAAGACCTGGAAGAGAATGACTATTATTGTGAGCACTGTGTCAATGATGACCCTCGAGAACTTAATGACTCCACTGACATTGAAGAAGTCACGAAGGCAAATGAAAAACAAAAAGGCGCCTGGGGCTAATGGTATTAGTGTAGAATTCTATAATAATCCGCTGCATATAATCATAGCATATCTAATTATACTATTCAACAGCATTTTGGACCTTGGTGTATACCCAAAGAGATGGGCGGAGGCATTGCTTTGTGCAAGCTGTTTATGAGTAGGGGGCGCAAAAAAGCGTGGACAACTACAGAGGAATATCCTTATTGATTGTATGTAGCAAAATGTTCACAAAAATTATGAACAATAGGAAAGGAAGGGTAAATTACACGAAAGCCAGGTCGGTCAACTATTGATCAAATGTTTACATTGGAGAACGTTTGTTGTTAGGAAATCGCCGTCACAATGGCACGTCACACGCGCTGACGTCATACGCAGTGACTTGTCCCATTGTTGTCATGGACATATGCGTCCTAGCAACCGAAATCGCCAAAAATTGCGGACAACGACCGAAGCTGTTCATTTATCTGACAAACTTTTCTATGTAAATCTAAGTAGACAAATGATCATACCTTATATCTAACATACCTATAGTTACACAATAGAATGCCGAGTAATGGGGATAACGTAAGTTGACAAACCAAATAATGATTTCTAACAATGTTTATAATTTCACCGTTATGACTTCAAAAGATGTCGGTTTGCTTAAAGCAGAGAACACATTTAGATTTTATATTGACTTAATTTCAGGACCAAGTCCCTCCTTGGCGGAATCCAAATCTAAGCTTTTTTGCTTGGCTGAGAGTACTGTTCTCTTCTATACACATTACATGTCTTATTTGTGGGGGTAGTGGAGAGGAAGAGGACAAGGATAAGAGATATAAGAAAGGTGAGAGTTAAACTATATAACATTTTAGGATAAATATTTATCATAATATTTAATACAGGTATTATTTTTATTGAGATAAATAGGGTTTTTGTTTTTATTCAAGGACTTTGTCACAAAAACTCCATTTTTGATCTGAGTTCTAGCGTTGTGACAACATAGAATCATAGAAAAGTACGGCTGATTTGAGAAGCGATGAGTATATTTTACATTATTTTGTATTTTTTCGAACATTACGCTTTTTAAAGTAATTAGAGAGTTAAACAACTATATAATGTAATATGTATATGAAATATGTAATATGAACTTCAAGGTAAAGCAAAGAAAGAGAAGAAGACGAAAGAAAAAGCAGAAGCGTCGCACGCTGAAAGTGACAAACCGGTAAGTACATGTATATAATTAATTTTCCATTGCCGTGTCTATGCAATATATATAGATCTAGTGTTTATTCATTTATATAATCATTTACTCATCTTTTTGCTTAAGCATCCATTTATTTAAGTTTTCTTTCACTCATTAATTTTTTGTTGCTGTCCTATTTTTACAATACTGACATTTCATTTTTTATCTTTATTTATCATTTTAATTCATTCACTTTTTTTAATATCTTTTCTTCC